CAAATCTGGGACCCTTCAGTCAAGAACGATGCTCTACCCAAACTGATTAGGGCAAGAGTACCTTTTTAATTCCATTTATTTAAAATTCCAAAAAATAGAAACAAATCTATAGTAACAGAAAGCAGATTAGTGGCTGAGAAGTGCCAGAGAGAGGAATTACAATGGGGCAAAGTAAACACTTATGGACTGAGGGGATGGTGCATATGTTCACTGGCTGGATTGTGGTGATGGTCTCACAGATGTATAGTTTTGTCAGAACATAATAAACTGTACACTTGCATGCCAAACTATGTCAATAAAGCTGTGTTAAACACACACACACACACACACACACACACACACACACACACAAGAAGGGGGCAGTAGGAATGGGAAGAAAGAGAATGAATTCTAGGGCCTCTTGCAACTTTCTTGCTCATGGACATCAGATGGTGTCTGATTATAAGATCCTTTTTCAGTATTTTACTTCAGTTTTAACTGCCAGGGTAGTCTAGCCACTCAACTTTCTAGTCTTAAGTGGCGCTGGCCTGTGCAATCCAACACTTCAGCAGGTCCAGTCTCCTCTTGCACCCAGAGTACAGCTTGAACTCCTTAGCTCTGCCTCCACTTGCTGGGATGTTGCCTCCATTGTAAATGATCCACATTTTCTCTCCTTTCAGATCCAGGTAGAATGAACATTTATTTCATAGCCTTTCCCATTCATTCCTGCAGGGGGAAAATGTACTTTAGTTGAGCTTCTCTAAAACGTGTAATATCAACAGCTCTTTTGACACCTTTGCTGCTTTATATTATTTGCTTTCCATGTGCATGTCTTATCTTCTCAACTACATTCTGAATGTCTTCAGGTCTGGGACTGGGTCATATTTTATTCTTTGTGTCTCTCCCACGGCATTTAGTAAGTGCTTAATATATGTCAGTTTTAAATCATCTCACTTTGATAGTCTTTCCAAAGTACATTCTCAGCCATTATCTCATTTGATCATTACATCAACACTAGGAGATTGGAGAAGCTAAAAAAAATATGTTATTTCCTCCTCCATTTGACACATAAGGAAACTGGAGCCCAAGGTCACTCAGTGTGTCAGAGACAGAGATGGAACAGATAATTGCATATGAAGGTTTGATCCTACTCAAGGTTTCCCATGGCTCTCCACTCTGCCCTCCTACCTGAAGACTGGCCATTGTACCCTTCACCATCTCATGTCCCAAATACTTTAGTGCTCCTTAGCCAAAGCTTTGTGGTACCATATTAGAAAATTAGACAAATATAAGACATGAAATTTCAGTAGACTCCTGATCAGCTCTGAGTCACCAAAACATGCCTGCTATTTTTTCCAAGTGCCATTTGTTAGGGGCATTATGCCTGATGTTGAATGATGCTGCACTACAGAGCTGAGGGAGCATAAATAATTTTTAAAAGCTTTAGAAAACAACAGTACTTTAATATTAAAGCATGAAGGGTGGCAGCTGACAAGATGACTAGGGATATAAGATTTCTGCACTGGATCACACTATTCTCCTATGTATTGCTAGAATAATTCCCTAGTTGGTACTAAAAGAAAAGGTTAGCCCTAGCCGGTTTGGCTCAATGGATAGAGCATCGGGCCACAGACTGAAAGGTCCCAGGTTTGATGCCGGTCAAGGGCACATGTACCTTGGTTGTGGGCATATCCCCAGTAGGGGGTGTGCAGAGGCAGTTGATTGATGTTTCTCTCTCATCGATGTTTCTAATTCTCTATCCCTCTCCCATCCTCTCTGTAAAAATATCAATGAAATATATTTTTTAAAAAATAAAACAATGACTTAACAAAATAAATTAATAGCCAAAACCGGTTTGGTTCAGTGGGTAGAGCATCGGTCTGCGGACTGAAGGGTCCCAGGTTCAGTTCTGGCCAAGAGCATGTACCTTGGCTGTGGGCACATCCCCATTGGGGGGTGTGCAGAAGGCAACTGATGGATGTTTCTCTCTCATATATGTTTCTAGCTTTCTATCCCTCTCCCTTCCTCTCTGTAAAAAATCAATAAAATTAAAAAAAATGAGTCCTGCAGGGTGTGGCTCGGTTGGGGGTCACCTTGTGCACAGAGAGGTCTGGTTGGATTGTGCACTGAGAGGGTGCTGGTTGGATTTCAGGTCAGAGCACATGTCCAGGTTGCCCATTAGATCCCCAGGTCGTGGCTGGTAAGGAGGCAACCTAACCATGTTTTTCTCTCACATTGATGTTTCTTTCTCCCTCTCCCTCCTTTCTCTTAAACACACACAATAAAAACATAATCAAACAACAATAAGACCAAAAAAAAAAGAAAGAAAAAAAACACACACAAGCCCAGTGAGGAGACTGGTGGGGAGAGGTTTCCACGCTGCCAGCGTGACCCGGAACCAGTCCCCTCACCCCTTCGCTCCTCAGCTTTCCCCTCAGCGCAGTGGGTGTGACGGTGACTCCTGTGAGAACTAAACGAGACGGAGCGAGGCCAGTGCAGTGGTCGGTGCGGTGCTGGCTCACGGACGGCCCTCAATGGAAGTTGGCATCATTGCCATTTTGTCAACGTTTGCCCTCACCGTGGGGCGGGCGCCCTTCCCCACCGCGGCCTCCACGCCGGGTGCCGGGTCCCGGGGCGGTGGGCGTGCGGCGGGGGCGGGGCCTGCCGTTCCCGCCTGAGCGTGGCCCCGCCCCCCGCGGCCTCCGACCTGCCGCCGGCCTTCCGCCGCCCGCGCCGCCCCGCGCCCCCGACGGGGAGTCCTGGGCCCGCACTCGGGTGGGGCCAGTGTCCCCAGCTCGCTCCGCACCGCCCGGAGCCCGGAGCCCGGAGCCCGGCCGCCCTCAAGGCGCAGGTTTGCTGGGGCGGCGGCGGGGAGAGCAGCCCCTGAGGGGCCGCCTCGCCCTCGGGAAGCCGTGGCTGCCCGGGCGGAAGGGAAGCGGCGCCGGAGAACGCGCTCCGCATTTTGATTCAGTGCGGGCTCTGCAGGGGTCACATCTTGTGAAAATGCCTGTAAAATCAATTTAACGTGCAGCGCGGCGTGTAAAGACAGCTCCGAGGAGGTAAAGACGCCAGAGTCAGAGACAGCAGCGCTTTTACACGTCTGAGCGCGGGGAGAGGAGCCGCTGGGCCGCCGTGGCCCCCGCTCCCGACATTCAAAAAGGGAAGAAAAGCACTCAAACCCCCCGGGTAGGCAGTGCCCCCGCGGAGGCCAGAACAGCGGACCTTTGTGAAATTTAGGGGGGTCCCCATCGTGGTGAGTGAAATTTGTGTAACTTCTGTTTGCAGGCCTCGATCAAAGACAATTGCGAAAAACACCGAGCTCACCAAACAAGTAGCTTTGGTGGACAAGGAGATTGTGCCATTCATTCTTCAGGTCTCTCCAAGGCGGGAATTGTTATCTCGGTTTTGCAGGTGGGAGGAAGTTTGGCACACACAAAAAAACATCTCCCTTAAATTCGCCGAGAACAATGGCTGAGCCGCACATAAAGCCCTAACATCCCAACTCCTCAGCTGCCTCCCCCTCCAGACCGAGTTACAAAACAGATGAGTAGTGACTTTGATGTTACTGCTCATCAAACGAGGGAGTAAACTGAACGTTCTGAGAACATGGAATGTTAAATCATAATAACCTTCTGTGTCTGTTCTGCTTGGGGAGGCACAGCTGTCCTTTGGAGTTTGACACCTTAGAGGAGAGATTGTAGCAGCAAAATGGAAAATAATGTCAAGGGAAATGTTTTGTCTCCAGAGACCCAACAGTGCCCGTCACTGCTGATTTGTATTGATGTCATTCTTTTCAGTGTACTCTGTGTTCTGGCCTCAGCTGCGTTAACCACACCTTCGTATTAGTCTTTTGGCACTGACCTCCCTGTCTGTCTTCTTTTTTAAAATTTATTTTTATTTTTATTGTTTTCAGAGAGAAGGAGAGGGGGAGAGTAGAAAACATCAATAATCGGAGAGAATCATTGATCGGCTGCCTCCTGCATGCTCCACACTTGGGACTGAGCCTGCAACCCAGGCATGTGCCCTGACCGTGAATGCAACAGTGACTTCCTGGTTCACAGATGGATGGATGCTCAGCTCATCCTGCTGAGCTGGGCCCTGTGTGTTCTCTTAGGCTCTTTCCTCCAGGTGCTCTTTACCACTGCTGTTAGGTGCAAACCGGTCGGTCGTTGTTAAAGTGTGGAATGATTTGTTACTCCTGAAGGGTGTTTCTGGCATTAATGATAAAAAAATAAAACAAAAAACTACCAACGCATCTTAGATGAAAGGACAAGTTAAGAAGTGCAAGAAACTATTGTGGAATTTAATAGCTGAGTGATTTGAAGGGGAGAAAGTAGACTGATTTCTTTTTTCTTTCCTTTCCCCCAGTTCACTCCTGAGAAGCAGCAGCTCAGGTTTAACTTATAAATAATTGTGGAGCCCTAACCAGTTTGGCTCAGTGGATAGAGCTTCGGCCTGCGGACTGAAGGGTCCTAGGTTCGATTCCGGTCAAGGGCATGTAGCTTGGTTGCGGGCACATCCCCAGTGGAAGATGTGCAGGAGGCAGCTGGTCGATGTTTCTCTCTCATCGATGGTTCTAACTCTCTTTCCCTCTCCCTTTCTCTCTCTGTAAAAAAATCAATGAAATGTATTTAAAAAAAATAAAATATATTTTTAAAAAGTCGATAGGATAAAGTAAAAAAGAAATAATTGTAGAGAGAGGGAACATCCTCCTGCTTAGCCTAATGAATTGGAAAGTTTTCTTTCTTAAGGAGGCTCCCTCTTAGACAGCATAACAAGTGAAAACATTTATGTGTTTAGAATGCAAAATATTTTGCTGATAAGTCTGTTTGAATATAAGACTTTATAAGAGCTTGGAACCTTGGATGTGGGATATAGTCCCTCCTTGTGAAGAGGCATCCCTGAGGTCCCTCCCTAGCTTGTAGACAATAGAAATTTGAACCCAATGTAGTTTTCTCTGGAGCATCCAGCCAACTCATCTTTTTATTTTCTTCGATGGATTCAAAAGATAAGAATATCAGATGGCATCTGGGGATTTCTGTTTACCTGGAGAAGGGATGGAAATACTCCAACAAGGTAAGAAAAAGCCATTTGCAAGAGTTTTGATCACTTGTCCAGAGAGGTTTTATCCAGGTTCTTACCTTCTATAATAAAAAGGGCTTATAATGGGGGGAGGGAGGAGAGAATGGGACTTATAATGTTCACCAGTATGGTTTCTCTTATAGAAGCTTGTTTCTAAGAAATTAGGGTACATGACAATTCTTCACACTGTCTTATTGGAGAACAGATTACACTGACTCCTGGTCAGTGTCTGCTTGTACAGTAGACTAAAAATTCAAGATGCTCCCATTCTGTGTGAGCAACCCTATCCAGAAGATAAGGGTGGCCAGTAAATTCCTTAAGTGCTTCCTTTTTTCCTTTATCTTACATTTTTTAATATGTTGTCTCCAAAACCTCAGATCCTTCCAATATCTTGGATTCTTTCCATAGCTCAAGTCCTTTAGAGACTTGAATCTTCTATATTGACCATTTCCATATTGATCATTCTGCCTTGGTGGGTAGGGAGAGAGATTTCTTATCCTGTAAAAGGACTATGATGGTCCAAAGAATGAAAATTTTAGTATTTGGTAAATGGGAGTAAAACAGAAGCCTCCAGCAGAAAGCATTTCAGAAAAAAAATGGAAAGAAAGCCCCTGCCCTGGCCGGTTTGGTTCAGTGGATAGAGCATCGGCCTGCGGACTGAAGGGTTCTGGCTTTAATTCCAGTTAAGGGCACATGTCTGGGTGCAGGTTCAATCCCCAGTAGGGGGCTAGCTACAGGAGGCAGCCAATCGATGATTCTCTCATCATTGATGTTTCTGTCTCTCCTCCCTTCCTCTCTGAAATCAATAAAAACATATTTTTTTAAAAGACCCTTGAACATATGGAATTATGACAGGTTCCCAGTTTCTTGCACTTTTTCTCATGCATGTGCTGTTCTGCATCCATGGGTTACTCAACCCTATTTACAATAGGGAGAATTTGGTTAAATTTTTAAAATTTACTCTTAAGAAAAGTATACTTTCAGTTGCTTATGTGACTAGAGATTATATCCAAAGTTGAAACTTTACATGCATTTTTTTCTACCCTTCCTCAAGAACTCTAGTTATTCTGTGTGAATGAGCCATTTAGGGTACTGGGGTGATCCCTACTAAAGGGTCCCTTATTGATTTATCTCAGGCTTTTCAACTGTATTTCCATTTTCTTTTTCTTTTCTTTTTTTTTTTTAAATATATTTTATTGATTTTTGTACAGAGTGAAAGGGAGAGAGATAGAGAGTTCGAAACATCAATGAGAGAGAGTCATCGATCAGCTGCCTCTTGCACAACCCCTACTGGAGATATGCCCACAACCAAGGTACATGCCCTTGACCGGAATCGAACCTGGGGCCCCTCAGTCCCCAAGCCGACGCTCTATCCATTGAGCCAAACCGGTCCCTGCTGTATTTCCATTTTCTAAGATCTTACTTTTATTAGAGACTCATTCTTGAATTCCTGTTTATAAAATGTTTTTATTGATTTTAGAAAGAGAGGAAGGAAGAGTGAGAGAGGGATAGGAACATTGATTGGCTGCCTCCTGCACACCCCCTACAGGGGATCTGGTCTGTAATCTGAGTATGTACCCTGATCAGAATCAAACTGCTGACCTCTTGATACATGGGACTATGCTCAGTCAGTTGAGCCACAAGGCCAAGGTATTTTGTGGATTGTTTTGTTATTCCTCACCCAAGAATATTTTCCATTGATTCTTAGAGTGGAAGAGAGAGAAACATCGATGTGAGAGAAACACATCGATTGGTTGTCTTCTGCACAAGCCCGGACCAGGGCCTGGGGACGGCGGGAGGGAGTGGGGGGGCTGCAACCAAGGTACATGCCCTTGACTGGAATCTAACCCAGGACCTTTGGGCCGCAGTCTGAGGCTCTATCCACTGAGCCAGACTGGGTAGGGCTATTTGTGGATTTTTAAATCTTATTAGAATTAGGAACCTTTCCTACCAAAAACTGGGTTGTTGTTTTTAATATTAAGAGTTACGTTCAATTATATAAATTAAGAATTCATACCTTCTTTGCTTTTTGTCCCAAGGACATCCCACTAAAGTGTACAGCAGACAGCTTCCTCCTTGTAACCTGAGTGAAGAGGACCTATTACAGAATCCACACTTCAGCAAACTGTTGCTGAGTCTCTCACAACACATGGACGAGAGTGGCTTAAGCCTCTCCCTGGCCAAGGAGCAGGCTCAGGTAAGGGCCCTAATTGAAGGGATGTTTGCAGAAGGAAAAATCTTACGAGAGAGAGGTTCCTAACTGGGATTTTTAAAATTTTCTAGGCATGGAAGGAAGTTCGACTACATAAGACAACATGGCTGAGGTCTGAGATTTTACAAAGAGTCATCCAAGAGCTGCTTGTGGACTACTATGTGAAGATACAAGACACAAATTTAACTTCTGAGGACAAAAAGGTGGGGCAGGAGAGAGGCAGTAGAGGTTGGTTACCATAGGAATGAGCATGCCAACTAAGGCTTCATGCGATTATATGATCTGGGGGAAGTAGGAGCTTCATTTAATGGCTAGAGAAATGGGCTGTAGTTATGAGGGGAGGTGGCGTTTTGTCAGGGTTTTGAAAGGAAAGATTAGCAGGAGAAGGCGCTGACAGCTGGGAAGTTATCTGAAGAGGATGACCTATTTGAGGACTTTGAAATGTGTGAGGTACTGGTTCTTGAGGATGGAGAAGGTGGAGTGAAGGAAGTCTTATAGTAACCTCCAGTTGTTTTTCTTCTCAGTTTCATGAGACCCTTGAACAGCAGCTACTTGTGACTCAACTAACGCAGCTCTTAGGTCCCAGCCAGGAGAGGGCGATGCCTCCTCTGCTCGGACTGGAGAAAGCGGACCTTCTGGAGCTCATGCCGCCCTCAGAGGTTGGGAACGAGCAAATATTGGCTTAATTTCTCCTGTATATTTATTTGAACATCGTTTGGTTAAGCTTTATTGTTTTCAAAATGTACATGTTCATGGTAGTCAAACTTAAATAAATAAGAAATACATTACACAGAAGAAAGTAAAAGCTGAAATACTACGTCTAGAAATAAATAATACAGCTTGACATAGTATTATATCCTCCATGCTTGTACAGAGAATATAATATATTTTCACTTAATGTATTTTGGACTTCTTTTCAAGTCAACAAATAGATACAAATAAGATGATACTTTCTAAAGCATTCTTAGCACAGTGTCCAGGAACATAGTTAGTGCTCATTGTTCTTATTCTGTCATTGGCTTAAATAACTGACAGGATTCCATTGTATGGATGAAACATAATTTGTTTAACCTTGTTGATGGTTATTAATTTGAAGTTGTTCCCACATTTTTGCTCTTAAAAACCACACTGATGAACATGCTAATTCATATGTGTCTTTGCCCTTATATGATTATTTCCCAAGTATTACTGCTCAAAGTGGGATCATTGGGTCAAAGGATACACATATAGAACATTTTGGTACATATTGCCAAACTGTTTTCCAGAAAGGTCTTTCCAGTGCCCGTACCTCCCCACTCTTTCATCAGTGTGGGATCTGGACAGTCATATTATTCTTGGCTAATTTGATAAGCTAAAAATGAATCTCCCTGTTCAGACATTATCTATTTTAAACAGTGCTCCACATGTACAGCTATTTTTCAGTGTCAGCCCTATATTGTGTCTATCTCCTGATAGTTGTTTGTTGTTTTTGTGGGGTTTTTTTGTACATCCCTACTAAAAGCATTACATTTTTTAAATGAATCTCTCTGCTGTCTTTTTAAGTATTTATTTATTTATTTATTTAGAGGAAGGGAGAGAGAGAGAAACATTGAAGTGAGAGGGAAACATTGATTGGCTGCCTTCTGCATGCCATACCCCCCCCATCGGGGATGGAGCCTTCAACCCGGGCATGTGCCCCAACCTGGAATTGAATAGGCAACATCTTTGTGTACAGGGTGACATACAGCTTACTGAGGCACATAAGCTTTTTGTGTGTGTTGGTTTTTTTTTATTATTATTATTTTATTTATTTATTTTTTAACATATTTAGAGAGAGGAAGGGAGAAAGAGAAAGAGAGAGAGAGATCGATTGGTTTCACCCCAACCAGAGATTGAATCCTCAATCTGTGGGTATGGGCCCTGACTGGAGGACACTCCAACCAACTGAGCCCATTGACCAGGGTTCCCTGATGTCTCTTAATGCATTTCCTTTGGTTATCATTGAGATTGTTGTCATGTATTCATTGGCTGGATCTTCCTAGTTCTCACAGTCTTAATGCATCTCTCTCTGTTTCTGTGACTGAAGGATTTTGTATGGATGAGAGCTCGGCTTCCACTGGAAGTGGAGGAGCAACTCAAGAAGAAGTGTTTTACTCTCCTTTGCTACCATGATCCTAATTCCGGTGAGTGCTGGCTCGGTGTCTGGTCATAGCCAGTCCTCAGGACTCCTGGGTTGCTCTTTGAGAACAGTATATTTGAATTTGGATTTGGGACAGAAGCTGGGAAGCATTGGAGACATTGGAGATGTTTGTTTCCTTGCTGGTAGAATAAAAGCAAGGAATTTTGTGAGAACTTTATATTATATATATATATATATATATATATATATATATATATATATATATATAATATATAGTTTGTGATAACTTTATATTATATATAAATATTATATATAAATATATATATATATATATATATATATATATATATATATATATATATATATATATATTGATTTCAGAGAGAAAGGGAGAGAGACATAGAAACATTGACGTTGAAGGACTCATTGATTGGCTGCCTTCTATACGCCCCTAGTGGGATCAAGGCCTCAAACCAGGGCATGTACACTGACTGGAAATCAAACCATGACCTCCTGGTTCATAGGTCAATGTTCAACCACTGAGCTGTGCCAGCTGGACCTTTTATTCAGCAGAGGTCCTCTTACTTCAGGGAAGAATGAGTTAGTTCTCAGGAGAATAAGCATAGAATACAGAGGAAAGTTCAGGCTAATAGATGTTGCCCTTGTCTTTATTTCTATGATTTAAGAATTAAGAGCCAAATCTGGAAATAGAGTGAAGACAGTCGAAATAGGTTTGGCTCAGTGGATAGAGCGTCAGTCTGCGGACTGAAGCGTCCCAGGTTTGATTCCAGTCAAGGGCATGTACATTGGTTGCGGGCACATCCTGGTAGGGGGTGTGCAGGAGGTAGCTGTTCGATGTTTCTCTCTCATCGATGTTTCTAGCTCTCTATCACTCTTCCTTCCTCTGTAAAAAAAAAACAGTAAAATCTATATTTTTAAAAAGATTTCTTTAAAAAAAAAAAAAGAGTGAAGACAATTATGAAAACTGGGCCATTTTTAACAGGATATCAGAAGAAAACCTGAATGAAGACAGAATTCCTAGGGCGAGATGTAGGATAGGGCACTGAAAAATGCCCTTAAAAGGTCCATAGCAATTAGGGTTTTAGTGTCCAGTCCTCTGACTTTTTGCCCAGATTCAGATCCTGAAACCCTGAAGGCAGCAAAGGTGTGGAAACTAGCAGAGATCCTGGTGAGTGAGAAGCAGCAGTGCCAGGATGCCAGGAGCCAGCAGAAGGAGCAGGCGGTGCTGCTGGAGAAGAAGAGAGCCACCTGCTCCCAGGTTTGCCGGGGCAGGGGAGCCTCTCCTTTACCCCGGCCCCCGGGCACTTTGGGGAGCCAGGATCTCTGACCTGCCTTCTTTCTACCATCGCTCCCTCCTGCCTCCTCGGGCTCAGGTGCTTCTCCGCTGCTTGGCCTTACTGCACAGATTGCTTCAGGAGCACCGGCTGAAGACTCAGTCTGAGCTAGACCGCATCAACGCCCAGTACCTGGAGATCAAGTGTAGTGCCATGATCCTTAAGCTGAGGTGAGCTATGAGCCCTATGGCTCTAAGGGATACACCACCCCCTAAAACCCCGGCCCTCATCTCTCTTCTCTCTAACATGTCTAGCACCTTGTGGGATCAAGTAAATGTCACATAGCAGTATTAGCCTTCAGATTACCCCAAAGCTTTCAACATTCTTGATTCTTTTATTTGAAAGCTTTCTGAAATAGGTGCTTGACTGTGAGGTAAATTGCTCAGGAATTCAGAGTGACCTTGTTTATCCTGTCACTGCTTAGCCCACACCTTTGACCATGGCAGGTGCTGTGTCCCATTCCTAACTCCGCTGCTGTCAGAAATCCTCATCTTCACATTTCTTTCTTTCCTCTGTCAGGATGGAAGAGCTAAAGATTTTGTCTGACACTTACACTGCTGAGAAAGTAGAAGTTCATCGTCTCATTAGGTGAGAACTCTTAAGAGCTTGGTACAGCTTTTCAGAGCTGGTTACCATGCTCTCTAAACTCATTCATTTTAACACATCCTCATTCTTGTCTACTTTCTGAGGAGCCAGATTCTTATATTGTATCTTCTGTGCCCGGGCTCTTAGGGACCGTTTGGAGGGGGCCATTCGGCTACAAAAACAGGACATGGAGAAGTCCCGACAGGTCCTAAACACCTATGAGGTGCTTGGGGAGGAGTTTGACAAGCTGGTAAAAGAGTACACCCAACTCAAGCAGACCACCGAGAACAGGCGTTGGGCACTCCAGGAGTTCAACAAAGCCTGCCGCTGAATGTCAGCCGGCCAGAGGCACTGCTTCCTCTTCCTGCAAAGGACCACCTCCACCTGGAGCCATCTTAACTCAAGGGAGTGGGGGACACTTGCTCAAAACACTGCAGTCATTTAGGCACCCTCCTTGTTTACAACGACTGAATCTTTTCTGGACAATGTAGCCGATTTATACAAATTTATGTACAGCTATTTTTCAGTGTTGACCTGTATTATATTTGATTATCTCCTGAATAAAGTGATAATATCAAGTCTTAGGATTTTAATCATTTCCTTCAGGGAAAGATGGAAAAAGAGCATCAAGGTCTGGCTGGTTTGGCCCAGTGGATAGAGCGTTGGCCTGCAGACGGAAGGGTCCTGGGTTCGATTCCGGGCATGTACTTTGGTTGCGGGCACATCCCCAGTAGGACATGTGCAGGAGTCAGCTGATCGATGTTTCTCTCTCATCGATGTTTCTAACTCTCTACCCCTATCCCTTCCTCTTTGTAAAAAAAAACAAAACAATAAAAAATACATTTTTTTAAAAGTATCAAAGGCTGCATGGGTGGAGGGGCAACTGAGTAGGTATAAATAGAGACAGATCTACGATGCTTACACAAAGGGTGGTAGGTAGAAGTGCCAGCCTGCCCACATGGAGTTTTTGAGTCTTCATTCTGAGAGCAAGAATGGATTAAAACTGGTTTACTCTTGAACTATATAATCCCCAGAGGAGTGCTAGCTGTTAAGGCAGATAAGGACCTATTCTGTCACTGTGGTTCTCAGTGGGGGTGTTTTGACAAAGCAACTAGGCATCCAGTTCTTGTTAAAGGAAAGGATACGAGGCACTTGTGCTCCTGGTTCCCTCTGGTGTGGTTTGAGGGTTACTTCTTTTCCCAAAAGCAGAGATTGAGAAGAGATCCCTTTGGGGAACCAAGTTCCATGGTCTGCTTATCTTAGAACAAGGCAGGCCCTGGCTATTGTCAAAGTCAGGAACTGAGAGTAGGAGCAAAAGACCATTCTTATTTAGAAGAGTTTACTCAGTTCTCAAACCACTTTTCAGGGAGACTGGCATGAGGCATTCTGCTAAGATCAAAGAACAATAATCTTGGATTGGCTTATAAGAAAAATTAAGGTATTTGACTCAACTTTAAATATTTTTAAAATATATTTTTAGTGATTTCAAAGAAAAAGGATGAGGGAGGAGAAAGAAACAGTGATGAAACATTAGTCATCATTGATTGGCTGCCTCTTGCATGCCCCCACCAGGAATAAGCCCATTACCTGGGCATGTGCCGTAATCGAACCGTGATTTCCTGGTTTATAGGAAAACAATCACTGAACCACAACGGCTGGGCTATATATTTATTTATTTTTAAAAAATATATATATTTTATTGATTTTATACAGAGAGGAAGAGAGAGAGAGATAGAGAGTTAGAAACATCGATGAGAGAATCATCAGCTGCCTCTCGCACACCCCCTACTGGGGATGTGCCTGCAACCAAGATACATACCCTTGACTGGAACCGAACCCGGGACCTTTCAGTCCCCAAGCCGACGCTCTATCCACTGTGCCAAACCGGTTTCGGCAAAGGCTACATATTTCTTTAAATGGTGTTTACCACCACTTATCTATAGACAAATGGTGGCCCACACAAAATGAACAAATAACAAATAGGTTAATGGGGGGAAAAACTGAAAACAGTATTTCTTAGTTCTATAGTCCCAGCCCCCAAACTCTTGGGGAAAGTTTTCAAATCTACAGAAAAATTGAAAGAATAGTGCCATAAGCACCAGTGCACCCTTAACCTATATTCAACAATTGCAACCATTTGGCTTTTCTCTTTCCCTCCTCCACTTCTAAATAGATAGATAAAGAGATAGAGATATTCCTCAACCGTTTTATAGTTAGATATATTTCATTCCCTAAATACTTACACAGGCAACTCCTAAAAATAAGGGCATTCCTCTAAATAATTAAAATTATGATATCTTCTAGTGGCCTGTTGCAGGAAGATTCCCACAATAGGACTTCCTGCTGTGGTCACTGCCCCATCTGCTTTCCTCCCTTCTCCCCGCCTGGTTCCCTTTCTTCTCCCTCACCCTGCTTGCTTGCTTCTCCACACTTTGCTCCCTTTTGCAGTGCTTGTCTTCTTTCTATGCTGCATTCAGTCTTCACTCTGGTCTGGGTATGCAAACTAACTGCCATATTGGTTGAATTAATTTGCATACTCGCCCTGATTGGCTTGTGGGCATAGCAAAGGTGCAGTCAATTTGCATGTTTCTCTTTTAGTAGATAGAATTATTGAGGTCACATTAAATTTCCCCAAACTTTATCATTTGGATATTAGGTTTCTTTAATTTCTTTTAAAGTAGAACACTCCTCCCATTTTATTTATTTATTTTTTATTTATTTATTTTATTTATTTATTTATTTATTTATTTATTTATTTTTTAAAGCAATCTTTATTGTTCATATTATTACAAAGGTTCCTCATTTCTTCCCCCCTCCACCAGGTTCCCACCCCACCCTCCGCCCCCTCCCCATCCCCCATTGTCCTCATCCATAGGTGCAGTTTATGTTCAGTCTCTTCTTCCCTCCCTTTCCCCAATAGTAAATCCCTTTTCAGATAGTAAATCAGTTACTTAGCATTTTCTCATATCAATAATACCTCCACATGCCCAATGATACACTTCACACAAAAGACATTTCCCAATAGGTCCACCAGCCTCATCCAGGCCCCACCCAAGGCACTCACAGATCAACACCCCAGTCCTATACTAACTCAACACATCCAGATCTAAGCCTTCCTTCATCACTTGATTCAGCAGACCCTCAAGTTCCCACAAAAGTTTCCAGCCATGTCTGAGAAGCAGCCGTGGGGCAGGGGCAGGCAAGGAGCGAGCTGTTCTTGGCCTGGCTGCTCAGGGCCTGGCCTCTGTTGCTCTGGTTCATTCCACAACCAGCTGCTCCGGGTCTGGTCACTGCCGCTCCCAACCGAGTTGCTCTGGACTTGGCTGCTGCTGCTCTGGGCCTGGCCGCTCCTAGCCTGGCAGCTGCTGCTCCGGGCCTGGCCGCACCCGACCCGCCTGCTCCCCCGGGCCTGGCCGCTCCCAGCCTGGCAGCCGCTGCTCCGGGCCTGGCCGCACCCGACCCGCCTGCTCCCCCGGGCCTGGCCGCTCCCAGCCTGGCAGCCGCTGCTCCGGGCCTGGCCGCACCCGACCCGCCTGCTCCCCCGGGCCTGGCCGCTCCCAGCCTGGCAGCCGCTGCTCCGGGCCTGGCCGCACCAGCCCCGGCTGCTCCCCCGGGCCTGGCCGCTCCCAGCCTGGCAGCCGCTGCTCCGGGCCTGGCCGCACCCGACCCGCCTGCTCCCCCGGGCCTGGCCGCTCCCAGCCTGGCAGCCACTGCTCCGGGCCTGGCCGCACCAGCCCCGGCTGCTCCCCCAGGCCTGGCCGCTCCCAGCCTGGCAGCCGCTGCTCCGGGCCTGGCCGCACCCGACCCGGCTGCTCTGGGCCCGGCTGCCCCGGGCCCAGCCGCTCCGAGCCTGGCCACTCCCGACCTGGATGCTCTGGGCTTGGCTACTGCTGTTCTGGGTCTGGCTGCTCCCACCCCGGCTGCTCTGGGCCCAGCTTCTCCGGGCCCGGCCACTCCGGGTCTGGGTGTTCCTGGACTGGCCACCCTGGGCTTGGCCGCCTCCGCCTCATGCCTGGCTGCCACTGCCCCAGGTCTGGAACTCCAATGCTGGTCGTTGATGCTCTGGTTCTGGCTGCTGTTGTTCTGGGGCCTGGCTGTTGCTGCTCCGGGCCTGGCTGCCACTGCCTTGTGCCTGGCCACTCTAGGCCTGGCCGCCGCTGTTCCAACATTCAGTCCTTTTTTTTTTTCTTTTTTCTTTTTAAAACGCATTTATGTTGCAACGTTGGCTGGTGAGTTGAGTTCTGACTTAGTCTTTGATTTTTCAAGATCTTCTTTGTATTCTTTCTTAAGTAATTTTACTATTTTTTGCTCTCACTTGATTTCTTCACATTGAGAACTTCTTTGGTTTCTTCCTCCTTGTCCTGGGAGCTCAGCAGGTTGGCCTGTGGCACCCCTTTGTTCTCCACGGGCTCCTGCGCTGCTTCAGCCTGTTGCCAGGATGGCGCCACCCAGGAAGCGGCCCCAGGCCTTGGCTCCATTGCCCGCGCTCAGTGGTCAAAGGCTCAGGGGCACCCACGCCCCCAGGGGCCCCGTGGCCCGCCTCCTTGCTGGTGCCCGGTTGGCTGGAGTCCGGCAGGGGCTTCCGCTCCCCTCCGCGTTCCCCCAGCCTAGAGCTTTTTTTTTTTCTCCTTCCTGCTAGGGAAGTCCAGCATCAGAGTCAACAGACTGTCCTCTGCGCGCAGTTTGCGCGAGTCCCGGGGGCCCGGCCTTTCGCCGCTCTCCCCAGACTCCACCTCACAGCCCCGTCTCCCTCTGCCTGAGCCTGGGTCCCCAGGGATTAGCCCAGAACTGGGGTTCGGAGCAGTCCAGACTGAGGCCCAGCGCCGCCGGAGGCCTTGTTTCTTCCGGTTAGGGTAACCCAGCATCAGAGTCAACATTCAGTCCTCAGCGCGCGCATTGCGCGCGACTCCCGGGGCCCTGCTTTTCACCGTTTTTCCGTCTCACAGCCCCGTCTCCTCTTGCCGGAGCCTGGGTCCCCAGGGTCTGGCCCATAACTGCCGGTTCGGGGGCTCAGCGCTGCCGGTTCGGGGGTTCAGCCCAGGCTGGGGGTTTTATTCCCTTCCTGCTAGGGAAGGAAAGGCAGCTCCCCGCCCTCTCCTCCTCTCCGGCTGCAACCTCTCCATGCGCGCGTGCGGGCGGGTGCGCAGCATGTCTCCGTACCTTAGGCTTTTTTTCAGCTCCTCTGATTTTCCTTCTGGTTTTCTCTTTCCTTCTTGTTGTAGAGTTTTCAGTCAGTCGACTACTTGTAGCTCTGGGCAATGTCCACTCTACATTTTAGTTGTATTCCATTGAAATTGTTGTGTGCTGCCGTGGTTAGATGTCTATCCGAGC